AAATCTTCATTGCAGGAAAAAGGACAAAAACAAACAATCCTAGAAAAGCGGACAAATTACGAACAGCGGACATTTTGCGGAAAAAACTACAGAAAACGGAATTTGTCCGCAAAATGCGGACCATCTGGCAGCTCTGGAGAGGAGAGAAAGATAATTACATGTAATGCTATTTTCTAATCTTCTATTTCATACTACTGGTATTTTTCCAGCTGTTGATTTAACAGTATAAACAAAACAGACACAAATATTTCTTAAGAAACCGAGAAGAGCCAAAGAAAAACAAAGCGAATATGGAGAACAAATTGTTTGCTATGCCGTCTGTGTTTTTTTGTACAACATGACTGTATTGCACGCCAGTTCTATTTTTCTTCTCCGCTTTTTTATTGGTCCAACATGTCGCTAAAATCGATACAGGAAAACAATTGAAAATCAGGAGAAAATCTTAAAATTCAGCTCCTGCAATCACGAGACTTTTCATCAGCAGAAAAGTCAAAAAATCAGGAGTCTTCTGGTCAAATCAGGAGACTTGGGCACTCTGCATAGAACTAACTTACAACATGTGCGTTTATCTTTCAAATAAACATATATGTGACACACGCTGAGTTACACACATAGAAAAAGAAAAAAAAGAACTGCTCTAAGTATCACGTTATGTTGATCAATTGAATTCTTTTAAGAATATGTGCTTTTCGGAAGAAAAGTAAAAAGCTCCACAAATCGGAAAAAATCAGAAAGCCAAAATTCATTGGGAAAAGAAGCTCAAAATCGGAAGACTTGGCAACCCTGGTTGGAATAGAGTTTTGTTTTCTTCTTTTGATTTTGTCAAAAACCATCGTTTTTAGACTGAAGTTTCACAGTTAGAAAATATTTTATAACTCAGCCAAAATCAAACATTTTGGGATAGGATTTGCTTTACCTGGAAGCAGAATAATTTTTCGATCACATTCGCACAGAGAAGTTGAGTAGCTCCACTTTTTCTGTTACAAGGCGAAAAAGTCAAGTTCATAAAAATATTTTTTTGCTTAGTATGTGCCTGGAACGGCAAATCCATAAAATAAAGTATGCCAAAGTTAGAAAAGTGATTCATGAATAATTTAGCGCAGTTTTTGCTATATCAATGAGTTCATGGATATTCTGATAACATAAGGATATGAACGTTTCTCTCTCAGTGATCTGAAACTCCTTGTTAAAAGCAAGTTTTTATTCATTAATAACGTTGACAGCTCTAAAATACAAAAAATTAAAAAAATGCAGAAAGATCGAAAATATGTTGAATAATCTTTTATCACGAAGAATAAAAATAACTCAAAAAACTAACACTGTTTTAGGCACAGATAAAGTCATACGAACAGCTGTTTTGACATAAAAGAAAAAAGGTGATATTCCACCGGTGTAAACAACATATGACAATATAAAACTATGCATGAAATTTTGGTGAATTTACATTGTTGGCATAGTCATTTGAACTTCGATAGGCGTAGCATCTTCCGCACGCCATTGCGATGTGACAGTTTTGAATTGTGTATAAAAATTGATACCCTAAAATTAGATATTTCTCATATGGATCAAAAAACACTTGTCTTATACCTGTCGACCATAAAAGTTTGTATCACCACGAAATGAGCCACGAGAGCCAGTAAATGAAAACATTGGCAATGGCACAGGAATAGGAACGTTGATTCCAATCTATAAGAATAGATATGTAATCGAAAATATCTCAGCATTATTATTTTAAACTTACTTGACCAACATCAATATCAAGAGTAAATTTTCGTGCAGTTGCGCCATTCGTTGTGAATATAGCAGTTCCATTACCGTAGGGATTTGAATTAATAATATTAATTGCATCATCAAGTGTGTCAGCTTCCATAGATACCAAAACTGGTCCAAAAATTTCTTCTGTGTAACATTTCATGTTTGGCTAAAAAGAATAACATAGTTCAATGCATAATCAGCTTTTTCAGTTAGTCAATTTTCTTAACAAGCCTTTGAAGTTACAAACATATTTGTCTGTTTCCACTTACTTTAACCTGATGTAAAATAGTTGGTCCAACGAAATTTCCGTTCGGATAATTGGGCACTTTCACATTACGACCATCCAACAAACATTTGGCACCTTCCTTGATTCCAGACTCAATTAGTTCAAGTACTCGTTCTTTAGCTTTTTTCGATATAACCGGTCCCAAATCAGTATTTGGCTCGTGTCCAGCATTTACTCGTAATTTTTTAGCCTTCGCAACTAAGTCTGGAACCCATTCTTTCGCATTACCAACAAAGATTGCTGTTGATAAGGCCATACACCGTTGACCAGCAGCTCCAAATGCTGCACCAAGTAGCTGAAAGAAAACGTAATTTAATTTTTTATAACATCTGTTGTGAACTAATAAACATCACACACAAGCATACCTGATTTAATGCTTGCTCTTTATTCGCATCTGGCATGATGACTCCATGATTCTTTGCACCCTAAACAGAAAAAAACACACTGCTTTCGAATTGTATTTTTCGAAAGAAATATCCACATACCATATTACACTGAACTCTTTTTCCGTTTTTCGAGCCACGTTCATAAATATAATTACCAGCCGTATCTGAGCCAACGAATGAAATCGCTCTAATATCTGGATGATCGCAAATGAACGTTACAGCTAAAAATCAACCAATCTAGTAATGGATGCATTCAAAAAATATACTCTATTTCTGCACAACAGAGACTCTACCTTCATGTTGACCATGTATCACATTCGCAACTCCATTTGGCAATCCAGCTTCTTGAGCCATTTCTACTAGCATCATACATGCTCCAGGATCTTGTTCCGATGGTTTCATTATCATTGTGTTACCGCACACCGTTGCAACTGGAAACATCTGTCAAAAGAAAATAATCAAAAGTATGGTTAGAACAAGTATCGATAAATTTGCATACCCAAAGAGGAACCATAGCTGGAAAATTAAATGGCGCAATGCTATACAAAAAAAACAGGACGAAGTTTATTCAGTTTCATTCATTGAAGTAAAGTTAGAACTTACCCAGCTGTAACACCTAGCGGTACTCTGTAAGAATGAATATCCATATCTCGTGCAACTCCGTGCATTGTTTCACCGGTTTGAAGAAATGTTACTGCACAGCACGCTTCCACCACTTGTAATCCACGCAAAATTGATCCTTCGGCATCATGTACAGTTTTTCCTTGCTCTTTGGATATGTTCATGGCAAGATTTTTCTAAAAATTAATAATAAAATTACTATGTCAAAAAAAATGTGATGGAAAAAAATCAAACACAATTACCATGTTTCTTCTGATTATCTCTTGAAATCGAAACATGACTTGTTGACGCTGTATAACGGAAAATTTTGACCATGTACTATATGCTTCTTTACTACTTTCGACAGCCGCTAGCATTTCGGAATTGGTTGATTTTGGAACTAAACCGATCACCTCATTGGTTGCCTTGACGAACAAAGTTTTTTAAAATTTAACAATAACATAAAAAGAAACCCTTTCTCTTACTGGATTCGTAAGTTCAATCCAATCTTTTGTTTGAGAGTCGACCATTTTTCCATGTATAAAGTTCTTGATCTTAGGCTAAAATTAGACAAAAATACAATGTTATACAGTTCTACAGAATTATATCAATACACACTACAAACTTACTGCTGATGAAGTGCTTGCACACCGAACGTATTCATTGACCTAAATAGAATAAATAATTTAATTTACATACAATAAACTAGAATAGAAAACACACCCCTTTTACTATCGGGAAATTAAAACATTGAGTAAAAGATCATTCAGAGTCAATTTAATCGAGTATTCTCAGTACAAAAGTAAAATTTTTTGTGTATGTAAAATAGACTCTCATACCATAGACAATAAAACTCGAGAACTGGCACATATCTCTTTACACAGGATAAGTTTTCTCGCGTAAAACAGAAACATATAACAGCGTACATGTCATACATACATAAATTTTTGAACTAGCTTGTAGAAGTGAACTGAGTTTATTACTGACAATCATTCTCATAATGTAATAATCTGAAAAAGCAGAGACGCCGCAATTGAATTATAAGTGCATCGAAATAGAATCGAGTCTTTATTCTTCTCATTGTAAACGTTATCAAACTGACCTTAAAATGATAAAAAAGACTCGATTCAAAGAAACAATAATAAAAGTAAAAGAAAGAAACAATATTTTAGATTGATTAAATAAATAAAATAGAACGTAATACATTCATCCAACAAATAGATTAGGGTAAACTACTGAGGAAGTATACAGAAGAATTTTTCGGTAGATTAACCTTCTAAATAAAATGGCGGATTAACCAATCAAAAGTCGTTAAGGAATTCTCCTCATTTTTATCAAAGAAGCACAGAGTGTTTTTAATACCTTTGATGAACAGTAAGAACAAATAAAAAGACATTTTAAATAAAAAATTCCAACGAATAAGGGATAAGATTCGAATAATTTGGATCCAGACCCACTTTGTTGTATAAATTATTACTTAGTTTCAAAACGTTTTTTTTTTATATGATAAATTCTTTTCTAACTTTATATCACTTTTGCTTCTTTCTTTCTTTTCCTTTTTACTTGTTGTCCTTTTTTCTTATTATTATTATCACATTTGTTCACCTTGTAATGAGCCTGCTCGATTTGTTGGAAAAATAAAAAAGTTTAGATTAAATAAACTAGTTTAAAATAATCTTACTATCCATTGTCGAAGTTGACTCGACCAACGGCTTCGACAAAAGAAATATGATTTGGATCGAACGCTTAGATCCCCGCAGAGTACCATATTTACTGTGTGTAACGGTTAGTGTTTTGTTGGTTTAGCACCAAAAGTTAATGGAAAAAAAAGAGCTCTTGATCGACGTGTAAAATCGAAAAAATTAGTTTTATGTCTTGTTGATGATGAATTCGATGTGTTAGTGAAATTTTTCCTTACATATCCGTATAAGATTAATAATAGAGATGCTCACATATTAATTAATGAAATTAGGCAAGACAGGGTGTCGTTTGTGGGTAATAAATTGGTAGTACATATGAAATATCATAAGCGTTTAAAAAATAAAGTAGTCACAAAATGAGAAAGTGTTGATATAGGCGAAGATCATGTAATTCTGAAAATGATCAGGAAGTGATTTTCTTCTAGTTAAAAGAATCGAAAGTAGTGAGAGTGGTAGTAGTGATAAAGAGAACGATGAGAAAGTGATAGTGGTCAGTCGAATGCTCAACATCATTAAAACAAGTAATGGTCAAGAAGAAAAATGTATCGAAAAATAGTCGATGATGATGACTGTGATGTTGAAGCATCGAATGAAAATAATAAAAATTGTTTAACTCCAACAACGAAAGCGCAACAAAATGAAAAATCAAAAAAACTGTCGCGTGAATTAGCCATGTTGGCAAAGACCTTTCAAGTTATTCGATTTCTGAAACGAGGACGAAAAGATAAAAAGCATGTTTTTTAATGACACCGTAATTATGTTAGTTGCTTGAAAAAAAAACTACTAAAATGCAGTAATCAATCGATCTTTTGATAATAACACCAATTTTTTTAGAAGTTTTTTCGTTGACGATAGACAATCAATAACGGACGTACTTTTTATCAATGGCGGTCAACACACATGTGCGGTTCACTGTCTCCGATAAAGCACCCAAAAGAAGTAAATAGTACTTTTAGCTGGTTTTTAGTAGACTAAAAAAAAAGAAGACGTCGACCAGGTTACTCAAACAATTAATGCTAGAAGATCCATCTTTCTTGAGCTGAAGGCAATTGTTTCAGAAGAAACCATGAGAGAGTACTTATCGGAAGTACTTGTCTATTTTCTATACTAAAAAGGTAGATTGTAACTAAAAAAACGCCTAACTTAAGTTAACTAAACTAGCTATTGATTAAGTCACATATCACCAAAATTTACTCGCCTATAATGCGATGCCTTCCGCTAAACAAATAAGTAAATAAAAAGATATAAATTTAAGGAAACAAAAGAGTAAATAGATTATCTTGCTTATAGCGCAGCTGTATGTCTTCTCCTATGACACCTGCCTACACCTTTGAAGGTCATGCAAAGACAGAGCAAACGTTAAACACTTAGTTTCATCAAACAGGCCCAGGATTCTAAGAAAAAACCACATTTCTTTTCTCTTTTTCGTCTTAGTCAAACAGTAGGCTGAAAAAGCCATGGAGACACAAGTACGATGCAATGGCGATTTTTCCTAGTAGGCCAATTACATGGTTTCCTTTTAGCTTCAAATAACCGCTCCAAGGAGGGAATATCTACGTCAACGCACATTGATCCTGGATCCTTGGAGCTATTATTTGGAACTAACAGGAAACAACGAGTAGATCGTTGTAAGAAGTTACCTATTAGCTATTTGGCAGCGGTTATTGGCAGGTAACTACTAACAACGCGAGTAGATTATCGGTCAGGTTATCCTACCCCACAAACAAACATCACAGATAAAGCAGCTATTCAACAGTGAAGTGACCAATGAAATAACATCGTTAATGACTGGGTAGTAAATAAAAGAATCAAACTTCCTGTGCTGGTGATTGAAAATTTGTATTATAATGCCAGGATAACTTTATCTTTAAATTCAGAGAACGTTAAAGTAAGACACACAAACACGCACCGTGTTACCATAACGCTGTTAAGGAAGATGGCCGTTACGACAATAGCATGTAACAATCAATCATGAATGTATTTACAAAGTCAAGTGTAAAACATACTAATAAATCAAATAAAAACAAGTACAAGTGACACAGAATGTGAAACCTTTTTCGTGTCAATTCAATATTTTAAACAAATTTAAATGCAAATTTTACAAAAGAAAAGACGTATAGTGATCTCATCTCTGCGCTGAGCAAAGACAGTTTCGAATACACATAGAAAATTCCGTATTTACCACGCTCTTCTCTGGTGGCTGATGTACACAAGTATTCATTTGTTTTGTAATATATCGACTCCGGCGTATTATTCTTTTGTAGATAATAACTAAAAATGTCTCAAGCAGCTCTTTTGACAATAAAACAAGTGATTGGTGTTCGGAGTAGTGTTACAAATTGTATAGCATTTCAAGATGAGCAAACGGTTGTCTATCCCGCCGGGGGCAATATTGTGTTGTATGGTATTGATCAAAAAGCTCAAAAAACTATTCCATGTACAATTAATTCTCAAGGTAAAATATTAAGAACAACATTCGTCTGTTTATTTAACTTCACTTCTACTTACAGCTTTATCAACAATTGCTGTTAGTCCAAATCGTCGAGCAATTGCTATTGCTGAAAGAATTAATGATCATCCACAAGTTACTGTATACGATTTACAAACAGGGAAAAAACGCAAAACATTGCATACGGAAGTTATCAAATCGAATGAAATAGTATCGTTGTTATTCTCAGCTGATTCCAAATATCTTTTAACACAAGGCAAGATTATTTAGCATATCGGGAGACGCAGATAAAATCGGAGACTTTTGTTCGTTGTTTTTAGGGTACTGTCCAGTGGTCCACAGAGTTTGTTTTAAGCTCAACCGATAGAGAATTGAATTCTCTACAAAACCTGCCATTTGAATCTCTGATAGCATTTTTCTCGTTTGAGCACCATTCAAAATATTGAAGAATACTGAGTTGTCGAACTACGAAATGCTTTTGTCGTCTCCTTTTTGAGATTTTTAGCCCATTGTTGAGACTCAATAGTTAACTTTTGTGAAACTCCCTCCAAGTCATCGAAGAAGATGGAGTTTCAGTTATATACTCAAAAACCGGTGTTATCATGGTTTTTTTTAACCTACTACTAATATCACTTTCGGTCACAAGCTCTTTAACAGCGGTCATAACCTCCCAAACTGGCGGTCACAACTACTTACCTCGGTCACAACCTCTTACGTACCTGTCTGATATCGAGTGATATCAGGTGCAGAGTTGCCAGATATCCCGCCATAAAGGGGACAATCCCCATTTAAAGATTTGTCCCCCGCGAGAATCTGTCCTCCAGGATGTCCCTCTTTCAAGGATATTTTCTTTTGACCGTCTTTGATGGACTTTTCACTTTTGTATTACGCTTCCAGTTTAATAGAACTTTAGCGTTTAGTAATTTTTCTTATATGAGATTTCACATAAGAAAAAGCACTAAACACAAAATTGAAAATTAGAGTTTAGTTGAAGGGCCTTTGAACTCTTTTTCCTTTCGTATTTATTAATAAATATATATTAACTATTAGTTAATATACATACCCTGGTGAATGTACTCATGCATGAGTACTCAAAAAGTACTCTGCTAGAAAAACCGGACGAGTACTCATACATTTTTAGTAACCATTGGGTACTCACATAAGTACTCAAGAGTGAGTGTGAGTACTGTGGGGACGACTCTGAGTACTCATGCTAGAGTATTGTTGAGTACGCATATACCTTTTGGTAAAATATCCATGAGTATTGTTCATCTGATGTTTTCATATAGAGGAGTGATCTCAGGCAGCCAAAGTTGAAGTCACAGACGAGTCCATCGCTGATTATATACACTGAGAAAAATATTATATAAATATTCTGTTTCTTTACTAAATTTTGCGTTCTTTATACAGTTTTATTTTTGTAAAACAAAATGGTGAATGAATATTTTCTGAGTACTCACATAGTAACTGAGTACTCTCACTGACTAAAAATACTTAGAAGTTGTTAGTAGAACTCATATGAGTACTCATCATTAACTTTGTAAATAATACGACCATTAATCACGAAAATTAGAATGAATACAAATTTAAACGTGCAATAACTTTCATGATTATGATTATGATCTATGATTTTGAATAACAAAGACGTCCCTAGTAAGAGCATTCATGGAATGAAAATATGAATACATTAGTAAAAAATAACGTCTGAAGTGATCACTTGATGGTTTTTGTGTGACAAAAGATAGTTGTATTAAATTTTATATGAAGGTGACATAGTAATATTAGAAAAACCAGAATAAAAGAATATACTCACGTACCTTTAATTTTCTCAATGACGTCGCACGACAAATAATGTGTTTTGTGTTGTTCCCCTTTGTAGAAAAACAGTCCTTCTTTTTCCAACATTTGTCCTCGTTTAGTTGGCATCCCTAATCACGAGAATGTTTTTTAGGCGGTCACAACCTCTTAACTTGTGAAACTCCCTCCAAGTCTTCGAAGAAGACGGAGTATCAGTTATATACTCAAAAACCGGTGCTATGATGGGTTTTTTTGAGCCTACTTAAAATCTGATACCACTTTCGGTCATTTCTCGCCGATTTTTATTGATCTATCTTGATCAGTATAGGGAGTTTCACCTTTTGGTACCACCCTAACACGATTGTCTAGATAGAAAGATAGAAAATTTTGTGCTCTGTCGATCTCACTCATTTACAACTTCATACAATGTTTCCGCTATGTCAGTTCGATTAATAATTAGTTCTCAACCAGCTTTTCAATTCTTTCAAATTAAACTAATTTTTTTAATTAATGGTTTCAGTTGACAAACTTTGTTTACATATCAAAAGATGCGGAATTTAATTCTGTGTAGGATAATAAGACTAATACCCTGGGGTCAGAACGTTTATTGCTTTTATAGCCAAAAAACCTAAAGTCTGTGAGAAATAGGTTCAAAAGTTGTGTTTTTTTAGAATTATCAGTTTTTTACACAGAAAATTTTTCTAGAAGATTTAGCTGCAAAATTTCGAAAAATGTGTGAAAAGATGCAGAATTTCCCGGCGAATGTTTTGATATTTTCAAAATTCTTGTGGAATTTGTTTTCGGATCAAGGCAAATATTTTTCTGTTTTCGGTGTTTCGTAGTTCCACCACTCAGTATCCTTCAATATTTTGAATGGTACTCAAACGAGAAAAATGCTATCAGAGATTCAAATGGCAGGTTTTGTAGAGAATTCAAGTCTCTATCGGTTGAGCTTAGAACAAACTTTGTGGACCACTGGACAGTGCCTTAAAAGTAACGAACAAAAGTGTCCGATTTTATCTGCACCACCCGATATAAACAAGATTTTTCACTTCTTTATATTCTCTTATTTTTGTGTCAGGCGGTGGGCCCGATTATACGCTTGTTTACTGGACATGGGAAAAATCAAAGATCATGGCACATACAGAAGTTCGCACGGCACAACAACCTAATGCAACCGTTACACAAGTAAAATGACTAACTCTAATTAGCATATTGAAACATTGCTGACTTCCATATATTTTATAGGTTTCATTTAATCCACAAGATAATACACAAATTTGTGCTGTTGGTCACGGTCTATTTAAAATGTTTCGCTATGCTGACTCAACATTGAAACCATCTCAAAATTTAAAACAGGAACATTACAATTTTACATGCCATTGTTGGGTATCAGATGATCGAATATTAGCCGGTACAGATTCAGGCAAATTATTTGTAATTCAGAATGGTGAAATATTACATGAAATTAAATTAGATTTAAAATCAGAGTCAAGGTAAACGCAATCTTTAGAATAAAGAATTCTTATGTTAGTTTTATTTATTATGCTCTAGATCAGTTCAAAGTCAAATTCTAACACCAATTGAACGACAAACCGACAGTATAGATATGGAGTCAAGACAAGACGTCAAATGTATTGTACCATTTTCACGTGGAGTGATTGTAGCTGCAGGTACCAATAAAGCGTATACATTCGATCGAATTGATGATAATAAAGAATATTTTCGACGAAATCGTGAAATTATGTTGCCAAATGATCCCGTAGATAAATCAAACAACGAACGAATTGTGGCAATGTGTTTGAGCCCATCAGAAGAGACATTAGTGGCTGTAAGCGATCATCAACAAATTTATCAATTATCATTTTCCGGCATCGATATAACAAAGGCAAGAATTTGAATATATTTTTAAAATTAAGGATATTAATACCACGTTAAATTGTTTCATTATTATTTTTTTTAAAATACTTTGTCTGTTACAGGATGTCGCTACTTTTTCCTATCTCACAGAAGGTTATCATCATGCTCAAGTAACAGGCGTAGATATTTGTGTTCGAAAACAATTAATTGCCACATGTGGTGTTGATAAGAGTGTGCGAATTTGGAATTATGAAACTGGGTTAGTCTTTGAAAGAAAAAATTACAAATAAATATTAACTTGATAATTTTGTCTCTTTTTAAATAGAACATTAGAAGTATGCAAAGAATTTCAAGAGGAAGCTTATACAGTATCACTGCATCCATCCGGTCTCTTTGTACTCGTGGGATTCAGTGATAAACTAAAATTATTTACAATATTAATCGATGATTTACGTCCATTTAAAGAGTTTTCAATTCGCGGTTGTCGTGAAGCATTATTTTCTAATGGCGGTATGATTATCACCTCATATAGTGATTTGAAATAGTACACTCATAATTTCACTTTTTTTAAGGTCACGTATTTGCTGCTGTTCATGGCAATGTAATTCAAATATATTCGACAGTAACATTTGAAAATATAACAAATCTAAAAGGACACAATGGAAAAGTAAGTCGAATAGTAGAATCAAAATAAAAGTTAATTAATTATTATTCTACGTTTACATCAATAGGTTCGTCAATTGGTATGGTCACCAGATGACACACGTTTATTTTCTTGTGGAATGGATGGTGCAATATACGAGTGGGAATTAGCAACATCGAAACGTCTTCATGAAGCAGTTTTAAAAGCATGTGGTTATACAAGTCTTAGTTTAAGTGCTGATGCTAAAACGGTTTATGCTGTTGGAACTGATAGAAAAATAAAAGAAATTTTAGATGCACAGGTATTTAATTAGATAAAATAAGTATTGCTCTAAAAATAATAATAAAATTATTCTCGTAGCAAATACTTCGAGAAATTCCTATATCGCCTGATGATATGCAGCCAACATCAATTGCACTAAGTCATACAGGAAAATCTTTAATTGTTGGTACATCAAAAGGAACGGTACGATCTTATAAATTTCCGTTAACAAAAGCGGATGAATTTACAGAATACATTGGTCACGTAGGAATGATAAATAGAGTGAGTATAAGCATTATTCAATGGTATGTTTTCAATAAACTATTCAAATTTTATTCTTATCTTTCTTAGTTACGAATAACATTTCAAGATGAATATGTGATTTCGATAGGTGACGATGGTCTTGTCATTTTATGGAAATTACAAGAACACGGTGTATCGAAAAAAGATAAAGAATCAACATTTGCGGAAGAAATTTTAATTACCAAGAGTGATTTAGAAGAGAAAAATACTTTAATACGTGAACTAAAACAACGTGTTACCGAATTACGAGAAGAAAATGAATATCAATTAAAATTAAAAGAAATGAATTATGCCGAACGTATACGTGATTTAACCGATAAATTTATGCAAGAAATGGAAAATTTAAAAACAAAAAATACGGTGATTACTGGTGAAAAAGAGAAAGAAGCGAGTAAACATGCTGAACAAGTTCACGATCTTCTTGAAAAACAAAACAAAGAATTACAAGATCTCGGTAATTACATATTTTTTAAATAATTAAGTGTATTTGATAAACATTTAGAAGCTATTCAAATTTAGTTGAACGAAAGAAGTTATTGTAATTTTCACTTTATTGAACAGCTCTGATACAGTAAAAATTATGATTTTAGAATACTTTGTTTCTATCGTTGTATGCATTTTTTCTTAAGAAAGTTCAAATAATCAAAAACTAATGTTAGAATATGAAAAGTATCAAGAATTACAAGCTAAAACGCAAAAAACTCAAGAAGAATATGAAAGACAAATAACAGAATTAGAAAATCGAAAAGAAGAAGAAGTGACACGTCAACGAATGCAATATACAGCACAATTAGAAAAATTAAAAAATGATTTAATATTGGTAATAATTTTTATTTTAAGTACAAATTGTATAGATTTATTTTCTTTTTCTTTGTGTACGTATATTTTAGGAACGTGAAAAAAATAAACAACAATCTCGCGATCATGAAGAAACCAAACGACAAATAGAAGAAGATGCTGATGAAGAAATACTCAAAATGATGCAAGGACATGAACAAGCATTAATCGAATGTAAAGAAGAGAATGTTAGTCTTAGAAATAAAAGTACAACATTTCAACGAAAAGTAGGTATAGATCTACAACTACAAATCATTACCAATTGATGAATTAATTGATAATTCGATTTAATAAATATTGAATATTTTTATACAATAGGTTAAAGATTTAGAAGAATCAATTAAGAAGAAAGACGCTGATTTAACAAGTTTAAAAAATGAAGAAATTAAATTACAACAAGCAATTCGTGGATTAAAAAAAGATATTGAAGGTTTAAAAAAAGAAATACAAGAACGTGATGAAACAATACAAGATAAAGTAATATTAAAATATACTTTTAAGTTATTAACTAGAATCTTATATTATTTGACTTTTTTCACTAGGAAAAACGTATATATGAATTAAAACGAAAAAATCAAGAATTAGAAAAGTTTAAATTTGTACTCGACTATAAAATAAAAGAATTAAAAAAACAAATAGAACCACGTGAACTTGAAATTAAAGATATGAAAGAACAAATAACAAATGTAAGTAAATAATTTGTATATAGTTATATTTAACTATACAATATTTCACTTTAGATGGAAGCTGAATTAGAACGTTTAAGTAAAAGTAATGATGAAGAAAAATTGAAAAATGAAGAACTTAAACAAAAATTAAGTGCATCTGCTTTGGCTCTTCAACAAGAAAAACAAATGGTAATTTATCTTTTAATAGATTTATATTAAAATATTTATTGAAATAATTATGTTATTCTTTTTATCTCTCTCAGAAACGTGATTCTGAATTATCATTAAAACGAATTAAAACTGATCTACATAATTGTTCAGCATTACTTCAAGAACCAAAATTATTAAAACAAAAAGTTTTTGAAATTAATCAACTATATGTTCGTGAAGATGCCGTAAGTTTAATTGAAAAATTATTTTCTTAAATATAAAAACAAAATTATGTATATAGACTGAGGCAGCAAATGTTGATCAAGATATACAAAAGGAGTATGCACGTCAACGTGATCATTTGGAACGAACCGTAAGAAGTCTTAAAACAAAATTAGATAAAGATTCAGAAAGACATAAAAATGATAATATTCGTATAATGCAGGTATCTAATACGCAAATATTTTAGACTAATACTTGTCATTCTTAAGTTGTTGTTTTTTTAAAGGAAAATGTTACATTAATTAAAGAAATCAACGATCTTCGACGTGAATTGAAATCAGCTCGTGTCAAATTGCAAGATTTACAGACAGCAATGGGTATTAGTCGAAAAATGGCAGCAACAACCACGGATCAAATTGTTCAAGCATTGCATACACATCAAAATAATCATCTTGTTAAAGAAAAACATACTGAATTAGAAAATTTGATAACAAGACAGCGTAGTGAAATACAAAGATTAAATGATCAACTTGTTCACATAGAAGGACGTAGTAGACCAACATCAGGACAATTACCTCCCATTAATTCGGCATTAGCAGCGCATTAATAGATGCATCACTTATTTGACTAAATACAGTTTTAATAAATAATGTAACAGTGATCAATATGTGTATATGTCATCTATTTTTCTATTTTAATAGTTAATCCTATCCAATAAATGTTTTGTTTTTTTACATTGAGAAAAACAATGTCTTCAGAACTGATATGAATATGTCGTGCTAAAGTTAATACTTTGACAAATTTTCGTCGAATTTCAATTTAGATAAAATAATTTTGTCAAAGTGCAATATACACGTAATTATTTTGAGTAATAATGAAATCTTGCATAAATTCTCTTTACTAAGTCTACTAAGTTTAATTTCCTGACCTAGACAGCTTTTTGAAAAAATTAAAAAATCACATTATTCGATAGAGAATTAAATTTTCTACAAAATGGCTCATTTTGTTTCATTTTGTTTGGAGTTCAGATGCTCACAACAAATTTTACAAGCATTTTATGTTAGCACAAAACGTTTTTTAAAAACTTGAAAACTATTTTTAACTTTATTTTTCACTTAAATGCCTTCCATTTATGACAAACTCTGCAGAAAAGTGAAAATTCGAGTTTTGCTATATTTACTCTGACAAGAAAGCCATAGCTGATACTCCAGTCAGTCATAGTCATTCCAGAAAAGCGCAGGAAACTGTTTACGAAAAATTTTATGCGTTTAGCGAGTTTTGAATAATAACGCGCAAGAAGCTGCCAGTGTGCAAAAATAAACCGTGCAGGAAACGCACGTTGCCGTGGAAATGATGGCTTTACACGCCTGTTCCTACGGTGTATTTTTACACAGTCGCAGCTTCTTGCGCGTTATTATTCGAAACTCACTAGCTGCATAAAATTTTTCTTAAAAAGAGTATCCTGAGCCTTTCTGGAATGACTATCACTGACTGGAAAGCGTAAAAATTTCTGCGTAACAGTGTTAGGGAAAACGTAACTGCTTTACGAAAGTAAAATGATTATTCTAGAAAGAAACCGAGTTGATAATAATTTTTTTAAGCTCGGATAGCCCATTGAATAAGCTACAAAATGACCCGGAAAAAAGAATTTTTTATAATTCTTTTTGAGAAAATTTGTCCAACGACACAAAAAACGTCATTTTTTTAAGCAACAACGTCACCCTCTTTGTTTTGTCCACAGAAACTAAGTTTCACAACCGAATTAGTTGCTCTTTTTATTACTAATTGCGAAGAGATCGACACACAAAGTGACGCCAGAACGAACCTTCTATCAAATACCGTTGCTGGAGAGTCAAGAACTAGTATGGATAAAACGTGACAGCGTTACATTTGAACAACCCGCTTTACATCCATTTATTTTATAACCACTTTCAAAATCCCATTTCCATAAGCCATGCATATGTTGGAGAATCTGAACTCGCTGCAAGTTACTTTCACAGAGCAAAAAATGAACTTGCCGAATATTAAGAATATATATCCTAAATATCCTATATACCCTAAATGTCCTATATATACTAACTATCCTAAATATAATAAATATCCCAAATGCCCTAACTATCGTAAATATCCTATAAATCCTGAACATCCTAAATACCCTAAACATCCTATATCCCTAAATACACTGAAAATCCTAAGCATCCTAAACACCCAAAATATCCTAAACATCCTAAATACCCTATATGTCCTAACCATCCTACATACGCTATAAAACCTAAATATCCTCAACATTTTAAATAACCAATACATCCAAATTATCCTAAATACCCAAAATATCCCATATATCCTAAATATCCTAAACACCTTAAATGCCCTAAATACGCTACAAAACCTAAATATCCTCAACAATCTAAATACCCTAAACATCCTAAAAATCCTAAACACCCGAAAAAACCTAAATATCCTAAATACGCTATAAAACAGAAATATCCTAAACACCCTAAGCATCCCAAATACCCTCAACAATCTAAATATCCTAAACATCCTGAATATCCTAAACACCCAAAAAACCTAAATATCGAAAATATCCTAAAAATCTTAAATACGCCAAATATCCTTAATATAATAAACACCCAAAATACTCTCAACATCCTGAACATCCTACAAATCCTAAATATCCTGAGTATCCTAAATCCCCTAAACACCACGAATATCCAAACATCCTAAATACTCTCAACATCCTGAACATCCTAAATATCCAAAACATTCTAAATATACTAAATATCCTAAACATCCTAGACATTCAAAATATCCTATATATCGGAAATACCTGAAATATCTTTAATATCCTAAATATCGTAGTATCCCGAATATCCTACACATCCCAAATACCCTAAACACCCCAAACATCCTAAAAATCCTAACCATCCTAAATACGCTATAAAACCTAAATACCCTCAACAATCTAAATATCCTAAACATCCTGAATATCCTAAACACCCGAAAAAACCTAAATATCGTAAATATCCTAAACATCCTAAATACTCTCAACATCCTAAATATCGTACATATCCGAAATACGCGTAATATCTTTAATATCCTAAACATCCTAAATATCCTAGTGTCAACTCTTCTATCCTTCGGTGAGTCTAAATAATGGGAAAACTCTAGAAACTAGGTCTACCCAGTCCCGTTAGTGGATGATATCACTCAACGAGGAGATAAGAGGGACCACAGTAAAAAATACCTAATGAAAAGCGATCGAGTGTGAAAAAACGAATATCAGTGATAATACGAATATATTTGAAAAGATGTAAAATACGAATGACTAACAACAAGTCAGACTGACAAACTAAGAGATTATATATTTATAAGACGAGAAAAAACTAGAACAAAAATGAACATATATATAATCTATATGTGTATAGTAAAGGAAAATTGAAAAATAAAAAATAAACTAAACACAAAAGCGAAACAGTCTATGACGAAGAAAATGAATGTATATATTTGTTGTAGCCCAAACTGGAATTCAGTCAAATCTTAGATTTGCCTAGCCAAAACTAAGATTCCACTTTTGGCTAGCCAAAACTGAGATTCTAGTTTTGGCTAACAATTCTTCAGCCAAAACTAAGATTCCACTTTTG